AAAAAAAAAAAAAAAAAAAAAACCACATAATATTATTAATAATAATACAAAATACAATGAAGGAGGATGAAATATATGGTCCCCAGTGTCCTGTCTCAGGATGGAATTTTATTTCAAATGAAAGAGTAACATATGAGAACACATTGAGTATCACTTTTGGAAAATTCAAACTTCTTGGACCAAGTATAAATTGAGAGTGACGTTAAGAACATCTCCAAAGCTTTTAGATTGTAAGAGTCTATAAAATTATTGACCATGATACATCTAGATATTTTTGCCTCTGACTTACATACTAGCAGATCTATTTACGGATGAATAATTTACTAACTTTTAATTAAGCTTTTTCATTTTCCTAGTGTACTGTCTGTATAGTAAGTCTGTTACTACAAGCAGGTGCAGTTTACTAAGCAGCAATCAAAATTGAATAATGCAGAGTGGATTGAATATCCTTGAGTATGAAATAAGAATACCTGCCAATGCTCTTCCATTTTTACTCCCTGGGGGCTTTTTCAAAAATCTTTTGCATTGCTCATGATGGGGCCAAGAACTGTTCTGCCTCCACCTCCCATGTACACCTAACCACTTTTGGGATGCAGGGATGGAGATGCTGCAGCAGAACCTGATAAATTGTTGGCTTTCTAACAGGACTTGCCTATGAAAGTCATGGCAGGGACTGGGAGAAAATTTCCTTAGCCAAAGGCTTTTTCTGCTGTGGACACTCTTTCCTCAGCTAGAGCTTCCTGCTACCTTGGTGGAGGGTGGGAAGGAGGTGGCACACAGTGGGCGTGGTCCCCTGGGATGGATTCAGAGGTGGGCAAACTGGGGCAGGCTACATGACTTCTGTAGACTTAGTTTTCTCATTTTTTAGAGTTGCATTCCTTCCTACACCGGGGCTTTTTTTTTTTTTCCTTTTTTTTAAGAAATACTACATTCAGGATATTACAAAAAGCATTTAAAGTGCTATACCAGTATTAGTTTTCTTTTTAAAATTAAACTTACTACTCTTTTTTTGAGACAGAATTTCACTCTTGTTGCCCAGGCTGGAGTGCAATGGCCTGATCTCAGCTCATTGCAACCTCCACCTCCCGGGTTCAAGCAACAGATACTTTTTCTTGCTTCAGCCTCCCAAGTAGTTGGGATTACAGGCATAAACCACCACACCTGGCTAATTTTGTATTTTTAGTAGAGACAGTGTTTCTCTATGTTGGTCAGGCTGCTGTGGAACTCCTGACTTCAGGTGATCTCCCTGCCTTGGCCTCCCAAAGTGCTGGGATTACAGGCATGAGCCACAGCACCTGGCCTAAACTTAATTTTAAAACATCAGTTGTCCAGGACATCAGAAAAACCTCAGTCTTTGTGCGGCCTTGAGTGGAAAGATGGTACTTGAAAAAGGATTTTTTTACTTGTTGGTAAGTTGTTCCCAATGCAGTCGAAATTTATTCTCTCATAATTTTTCAGTTTTGTTTAGTCATCATATCCTAGTTCTCAATAGATAATTATGGGGAAATGTAAATGCATTTTCAATTTGATATTTTCAGTTTACACATATAGAACAATAGTATTCTAGATCTGGACTGAGAAGTTAGGACTCTATTTTAGTAGTTTTTCATTTAGACTGAAAGAACTATGGAATTGGTATTCTGTTTGAATTATAAAGGTGTTTTTATCTCAGCAGTCTGAAAACATATACTAATTGTATATTAAATCTGCCATTAAATCAATTTATTGTTTATATTTGTGTAGTAAAATTAATACACAATAACCAGTCACTTGTTCTTGTCTTCCAGTGAGGACGAACTGGAAGAAACAAATGGAAATAATCCCATTGACATTGAGGTTGATCAAAACAAGGAAAGCAAAAAGGAGGTATTTCCCCCCGTATTGTTTAGGCAGATAAATTTTATTACCAGTTTCATAAATAAAACATTTCTCTTGCTTGTGCTATGGGGAAAGCAGCATGATACGGTTTTCTTTTTTCAACAGTACTATCTTTGCTTTATAGATCGTAGAATTTTGTTTGCCATTAAATATGAATAAAGGAAGCCTTAAAGGAAAAATAATAGCATTAATGAGTAATGATGTTCCCTAGGGCAGCAGTCCTCACTGACTTCCCTTCTAAGCTGTTAGCTCAGTAGGCTAGCAAGTGGTCTAGTGAATTCAAGGCAGCCTTAGGGGCCTCCATTCACTCTAGCTGCTCTGGCTTCTGCCCGTCCTGGGCACCCATGTCGTGCCTAGGATGACTGCAAGGAGCTGGCCCCATTACTCAGAAGCAGCAGTGTGGTCAGACCAGGGCAAGTCAGGACCATCCTCTCACACGTGGTGATTGTTTCATCTCACTCATGATTTACAGTATCATTACAGAAGAGATTTTAGTTTCTGGATTCAAAGGACTTATAAACCCTTATAATTGTATGTAACTTTTCCATAGGTTCATAGAGGTGTTTTTCGGAAAACAGAGTCCATAGTTTCAATAAAATTTCTCAGAGAGTTCTCTCTCCCTGCTCCAAAATATAAGGACAGTTATTTTAAGCCTAGAAAAACAGAAGGGTCTAAATATATCTAAACTTTAAAATGACATCAGTAATATATGCTTCTTACAGATAAGGTAGGAAATACAGCTAACTGAAAGAAAAAAATTAAAGTGATTTATAGCATTATCATCCATAATGATTGTCAACATTTTGGTGACTTTTTCCTGAGAACTCTCAGAAAAATGTATATGCCTGTATATTGATAATTCTGAATCTAGTCACTTTTTAAAATATATAAAATGGGATCTTTGTAATTTTTAGACCCTTTTCAATTTATTCTACTTT